TATCAAAACATAATTAAAAATTGAAAAAAGAAGAAAATATAAAAAATATAATATCAAAATCAACTGAACAGAAGACAGGTCAAGGAGAGATAATCTTAAAATTATCAGACTATCTTAAGATAATAGCCAAAAGAAAAGCCTAGATACTATATTTCAAGAAAGTATAAATAAAAACCGCCCAGAACTCTAAGAACCATAGGGCACAAGTGAAAAACAAAACAAAACAAGAATCCATTGGTATCCACTAGTTACTCCCTGAAAGAAACTGCAAATGAAAACTCTAAAAACATCATAACCACATTTTTATACCTATGCTTTCAAGTTTTTTAATAGGAATGAGTGTCGTATTTTATCAAAAACTTTTCCTGCATCTACTGATATGATCATATGACTTTTTATACTTTTGTTATTGATATAATTAATTATGTTAGTAGTTTTCCTTATGTTAAACCATCCCTGCATTCCTGGTATAAATCCCACTTCATCACAATGCATAATCTTTGTAATATATTGCTGTTGTCTACTAAATAATATTTTATTTAGGATTTTTGCATCCATATTCATTAATGAAATTGGTCTATGATTTTCTTTCTCTGTTTTTGCTCTTCCTGGTTTAGGCATCAGTATCATATTTGTTTCATAAAAGGAATTTTTTGGGACTCCTTTGCCTATTATTACAAATAACTTATTTAATATTAGAATTAGTTGATCTTTAAATGTTTGGTAGAATTCACTTGTAAATCCATCTGGTCCTGATGCTTCTTTCTTAGGAAGCTCCTTATGGCTTGTTCAATTTCTTTTCCTAAAACAGGGTTATTTAGATATTCTAATTCCTCTTCTGTTAATCTAGGCAATTTATATTTTGGGAAATATTCTTCCATTTCACTTACTGTTGAATTTATTGGCATATAAATTGGGAAAATAACTTCTTATCATTGCTTTGATTTCATTTTCATTAGTGGTATATTCTGGAAATGATTTTAAAAAGAGACATTTAGGGCAGCTAGGTGGCGTAATGGATATAGCACCAGCCCTGAAGAAGGAGAACCTGAGTTCAAATCCAGCCTCAGACCAAACACTTGACACCTACTAGCTGTGTGACCCTGGGCAAGTCACTTAACCCCAATTGCCTCACACCCTCCCCCGAAAAAAAGAGACATTTACATCTACTTTGCCACTGTCTAAGGATCACAGAACTTTTTCATCTGACTTGTATCTGAAACCTTCCATGTGTGTTATCTCCGCTATTAAAATTTAGCCTCCTTTAAAGCAGAGACTGTCTTGCTTTTTCAGTTTTTTGTCCCCAGTGCTTAGCATATAGTAAGCCTTAACAAATGCTTGATTCATTCATTCATATTCACCACTACTATTTAACAGAGTGCTAGAAATACTAGCTATAGCAATAAGAAAAGAAAGAGAAAGTGAGGGAATAAGCATAGGCAAAGCAGAAATGAAATTATCAATTTTTGCAGATGATATGAGGATTTGTTTATTTAGAAAACCCTAAAGAATATGTAAGAAAATTAATCAAAATGATAAATTCAGCAAAGTTGCAGAATTTAAAATAGTCACATTTCTTTCACAACACACACACACACATACACACACATACAGCAGGAAGAAATAGAAAGTAAAATTCCATTCCAAATAACTATAGAAAACAGAAAATACTTGGGAATGTATCCACTAAAATACAGCCAGGAATATGAATCCAATTATAAAGCACTTTGCAGAAATACAGACCTAAATAACTGGAGACACATCAATTTGCTCATGTTTGAGCCAATATAATAAAATGACAATACAACCTAGATTTATTTATTCAGCACTCTACCAATCAAATTACCAAACAAATATTTTATAGAGATAGAAAAAATCATGACAAAATTCATAAAGAGGAACAAAAGCTCAAGAATCTAAAAAGTAAAAATAGAGAGACAATTGGGAAGGAAGGGTCTATCAATACCAGATCTCAATCAATACTATAAAGCATTAATCATCAAAATGGTTTGATATTGATTAAAAAATAGAGGTGTCATTTAGTGTAGCAGATTAGGTACATAACATATTGAAGCAAACGAACATAGTAGCATGTTATTCCATAAACAAATACCCCAGCTAACTGGAGGAAGGACTCATTATTTGACAAAAACATATGGGAAAACTGGGATGGCAATTTGGCAGAAATTAAGTAGACACCAACATCTCACAACACACACCAATATAAGTTCTAAATGGACACATGATCCACATCTAGAGTGTCAAGTCATAAACAAATTAGAGGAGCAAAGAAGAAATTACCTTTCAGACACATGGCTAAGGGAAAAGTTCGTGATTAAACAATCAATGGAAAGGATCATGCAAGATTAAATGGACAATTTTGATCACATAAAACTTAAAAGTTTTTGCACAAATCTAATGTAGTTTAAAATAGATTTTTAAAAAAACCAGGTAACTAGGGAAAATATTTATCCAAGATAGAGAAGGAACTGACTTAAATTTATAAGAAAAAGAGCCATTTATCAATAGATAGTTAAATGATATAATTTGTTTTCAAAGGAAGAAATCTAAGTTATCAATGAGCATATGAAAAAATGCTCCAAATCATTTATAATTAGAGAAATACAAATTAAAGCAACTTTAAGAGTCTCTACACACCCTGCTGGCAGGCCCGCAGGTAAACAGGTTTACTAGTACACTGTTTTTGGTGGGACTGTTTCTGGAAGGCAATTTTGTACCATGGTCAGTTCTACTATAACATTTGTTTTGAAAAGGAGAATTTGATCCAACTTGATGTGATCCTGGGCAAGTCACTTAACCCCAATTGCCTTAAAAAAATGTATTTTGAGTTTTCTTAAACCCTTTCATCATCTATGAAAGACAGCAAGAGGACAATAAGCCACAGCCATCCATATCTGGAGTTACAACTTTCTATCCATTTTCAGATAATCTTCCTTGCACATCTTTACAATAACTCACAGGCTACCACTCTTACCACACCCACTTCCCCAAGCAAATTTCAGGTCTTTTTCAAGGTAAAGTGCCATACTCATTGCGTGTGTGTGTGTGTGTGTGTGTTGTGTGTGTGTGTGTGTGTGTGTGTGTGTGTTGTGGTGCAGTAGGGAAGCTGTAGGCTGAGGAAGATGTTAATACCTATGCATTCTACCCTTCCTACCCCACCCTCCAACCAAGCTGAAGCATCCACACCCCAGAGTTTTAGGCCTACAAAGCTGGCTTCTTGCCTAAGTGTTTGGACTTTACCAATTTATCCCCTTTGGAAATTGGGCTCAGATGAACAGTAGTTGGGGATGCTGCCACTATTTACTGTGGTATTTATATATTTCTTAACCATTTAACATGTATAAAACTATGTTTACTGTTTTTATTGGGTTCCTATTTTTTTTAATGTCACTGGAAAATTTTTTAGTTTTGTGCCTCTAATCCCATTTTCCCCATAAAGCTTATAAGTTTTATTTTACAGTTTTACATAGTATTGATTTTTAGGAACTTATATGTCAAATTATAGCAGAACTGACTGTATTTCCAGAAGTTATTAAAGTGTGTATACTCTTTGACCTAGCTATGCCATTACTAGGCCTATATCCCAAACAAATGAAAGAGGAAAGGAAATATACAAAAAGATGAATAGCAGCTCTTTTTTTGTAGTAGCCTCAAACTGGAAGCTAAGGAGGTGCCCTCTGATTAGGAAATGGCTAAATAAATTGTGGTATGTGAATGTAATTGAATATTATTGTGTCATAAGAAAAAATGAACCCTTTCAGAGGAAACTGGTAAGACCTCTATGAACTGACCAGAGTGAAGTGAGCAGAACTAGGAGGACAATTCATATAATGACAAATATTGTGGAATAAATAAACTTGGGGAACTTTAGGGTTATGATCAATTCAATGACCAACTATGAGTCTAAACACTGCATAGGAAACAAACCACTCACTTCTTGTCAGAAAGGTGATGGACTTACCAAGAAAAATGAAACATACATTTTAAGCCATGGCCAACATGGGAATTTGTTTTGCTGGACTATGCACATTTCTATGAAGTTCTGATGTTTTAAATCAATGTTGTGGGGGAAGAGTATCAGTGGGAAGGAGAGATTATAAATGACTTTTTTTTTAAAAAAAGGTTATTCTACCACCTCCTTTTCGGAAAAGTATATATAATATCAGACTTTTTTGATGTGTTGTTTAGTTTTGCTGGATTGTTTTTCTCTTTCTTACTCATTATAAAGGATGGCTCTTTGAGAGGGAGTGAAACATTGGGAATTGTAGGTGGTGTAAAAACAAACTATATCAATAAAAAAGTGTTTTAAAAGTTCATGGCAGATTAAAATAATTTTCCTTTTTAACTGGATAATCTGGCAAATCTGATGAATATTATATCGTTTACCTTGGTTTCAGCTAAACATTTGAAAAAGTCTTTCACGCTGTTCTTGTAAATGAGGTGGCTGAGACATGGACTAGGCAAGAGATGGATCAGGAATTTGCTCAATGACCAGACCCCCAAATCAGTCAATTAATAGTTCAATGCTCACTTAAAGGAAAACGTGGAGTACCCCTAGGGATCTATATTTGGTCCTGGGCTGTTCAATATTTTTATCAGCGTCTTTGGAGGTAGCCATCACGACGTACTTGCCAAATATACAGATAAGGTGAAGCTGGGGGAAAGCTAACCTGCCCGATCATGCAGTAAGGATGTGCAAAAAAAAAAACAAAAACCTCCTGACAAACTGAAAGGATGGGCCGGATCAAATTAGATGAAATTTATATTTATAAATATAAAATCCTACATTTGGGTCCGAATAAAGGACTTCACGAGTACACAGGGAGGGAAGTGCGAGCAGACCTCAGCAGCGTGGGGTCATTCGTGGCGTTTTGCTGTTTTGGTTCCCCCCCCCCCCAGCTGGGGGAAACGTTTCCATTTGTCTCTGCGGTCAGGCCTCCTCCTCCTCCTCTGCCCTCCTTTGGGTGTCACCAAAAACCAAGGATCCTGTCTCCATGGCAACCGCAGTGCACTCCCAGAAGACGGCGGCGGCAGAGGGTCATACTTCAACCGCTCCCACAAAAGGCGACAAGGCCGCAGCGTGGCGAGGACCCTTTAAGGGGCCACGTGACGTGATACCACATCCCTCTTTTCCTGTCCCTGTCCTCCATATTCTCCGCAGATTTTCGCTGGGGAAGATGTTCCTGCTGCTGCGGAAACCAAAGGCGGCTGCTACCGGAGACTCCCCTACAGGCAGCCGCGGCGGGCGGGGGGGGGGATAGAATTTGGGGGTGACTCCCCCCCCCGCCCGCGTCTCTTTTTACCTCCTCGATTTCGAGGAGGGGGAGGCAGCGTCATCTGCAGAATCCTGAGCCGCCAGGGGCTGCTGCTGCTGCTGCTGCTGCTGCCACACTTCGCATCGTAAGGGCCCGACCCCCCCATCCTGGCCCGGGCACCCCCTTCCCCTATTCTACTCACGACCCCCATATTCTGCCAGGGCCTTGCCCCATCCACCCCCGACCTCCTGGTGGGGCCCAGCTCCGAGAAGGCCCTAGCGCCCTCGGAGCTTCCGGGGCTGCTGCAGCCGGGGGGGGGCGAGGGAGGGGTGACTCCTCTCGGGGGCGCCCGTCTCCTGGAAGGCCTCTGGAAGGTCCCACGGTCCCTTGAGCCGTCGCAGCCGTCACGCCACTCCATTGGGCCTTTGTTCACCGCCCTCCCCACCACCAAGCCCGCAGCATGGTTGCTCCCGCTCCTGAAAGCCGGCTCCTGTGCCCCAGCTCTCCATCACAAAAGCTCCGCAGCCACACCCAGCCCCCGCTTTTGCTCTTCCCCGGACCCAGCCTTGGAGATCGTTCCCTGCTGTTCATTAGGACATACTCTGTACCTGGAGGATTTCACCTCGGTGGCCAGCCAGCCAGAGCCTTCTCTAACATGGAGAACCCCTGCCCCTCCCTGGCACCGTCTGCCAGGATCTGGTGTGCAGCTGCCACCTTGACCTAGAAATTGAGAGCTGGTTCTCTCCCGTGTGGGCCAGGCCATTCTGAGAGAGTGAAAACTGAATGACACCTGCACCACTTCCAGCTTGGATTTGATTCCTTTCCTTGCCCAAAAACACAGGCCAAGATGAGGCAGGTGCTGAGCAAGCTCATGTCAGGAGGGATACCCCATATGGCCCCTGCTCAGGGGTGTGTGGCTTTCCAGAGTGGACTGAGAAGTGTCTGAGTATCCAAAGGGTTGGGCCAAAGTTCCTGAGGGAGGCAGAGAAGTATAAACCCCTGTGTTGGCTGCCACCACTGTTTGGAGAGATCCATGATGACGTAGAGCCCAAATCTCCTTCTGGGCCATGCACTTCTCTTTGGAGCCCCAACACACAATCTGATTGGCTTCAGCTGAAATGACTCCATAGCCTACTTGTACTAACTGATGACAACCCCTGTGGCCGGGTCCTGACACCCAGGTTCAGGCTTGTCAATCACTTCTCAGATTCTGGCAGAACAAGCTGGTTAACCATGGATAGGCTGGAAATCCTCACCTCTGCTTGCTCTTTTTCAGTTCCTCGAGTATCCCAGCTCCCAGTAACTACTTCATGTTACCAGTATTTAAGTAGGGAGCCCACCAAAGGCAGCCTCCTGATGCCTCACACAGCCCTCTCCCCTCCACATGTGACTCTCCATCATTTCCAGATCCACATCTTCAATCATCCTGCTGGAATCCTCTTCACCTACTGTGCAGCCTTCTTCCCTGGCTTCTGGATGGGACTGGTTTCATCTTCTTGCTCTTCTCTGTTCTCTACAGACAGCACAGGATCCTGATCCTTAAGTCTATGGACCAATTTAATGACTAAAAGGAAAGCACTCTCTCTGTGCCCCTGATGGAGTAATCCTGTAGAAGGGTTGTAGATTGTTAGTTTCTTCTTTCCTTCCTTCCTTCCCCTCCAAAGAGCTACCAGGAGACTCTTCTATCCCTTTGTCCTTTCTTAGTATATAGAGTTTCCCACATGTGTTATCCTACCTATCTCTTCCCCCTCCCTCCACTTAATTCAGTTCAGCAAGTAATAAGTGCTTATTATATGTCCAGTGCTGGAGACACAAAGGAAAGATGAAAGCCCCTGCCTTGAAGGAGCTAGATGTTGTTTTATTTTTCCCTTCTTCCTTGCTCACAGTGAGAATATGTAAGAAGGATTTATAGATTATAACTGCAAGGAACCTTATGATCCATCTAGTCTAATCTGCTCATTTTACAGATAAGGAAACTGAGACCCAAAATAGTCAAGTGCTTTTTCTAAGGTCATATGCAGTTAGAAGTAACTGGCAGAGATAGGATTTGAACCAAGGTCTTCTAACTCCCAAGTCCTTCCCAGCCGTTAATGATCCATGACAATGACCCAGTTGGAAAACTGGAAAGCAAAACAGAATGTGGAAGAGAGCTAAACTCCGGTCTGAAAGAATAGCTAGGGGCAGCCCTTCCCAGGAAGGAGCTTTCCCTCCACACCCCTCAGTGGTACTTAGAAGGGAGACAGCGTCTTTGCCCCAACTCCAGTGATACTTCCCATAACCTCCAATTCTCTTTCAGTGAGGTGTATATATTAATTCTGTTTATATATTTTTGAGGGAGGAGGGGCCACCAGAGCACCTCTGACTCTTTCCATTTTCCCCCTTGCTCCCAAATGCCCTCTATTAGTAGGTAATGGGTTCCCTCTCTTGGAGACCTTTAAGCAAAGGCTTGATTTTCACTTGTTGGATATAGTGTACTTGGAATTTTTGTTAAGGTTATAGGTTGAACTAGTTGCCCATGAGTGGTCTTCCATCTAAAGTTCTGTGCTTCTGTATTTGATAATTATCAGCAGTGTTGGTTGTACAGACCATGGTCAGATATCCTCTGCTTGCTTCCAGTAGACCACATATGCGTGGGCTTGGGAGTCCGGGTTTGGCTTTGGGACCCATTGAGGAAGGACTTGGATTGTTGGTGACTATTTCCCATCAACCCTGTATTTTTACTTTCCTGTACTGATTTATACCTGTAATCTTGGACAGGGACTGTTTTTGTTATTTCATTGTATCCCCAGCACTTAGCATAGTGCCTGACACATAGTGAGAACTTAATAAGTACTTGCTGATTGATTTTAAAAATCCCCTAATTTCTACTGAGCCAGAAGAGCTCAGTAGACGATAGTAGAAAAGGGCTTTCTTCCCTCCCAGCTGTGAATCATCTAGACTTGGTTCCAGCTGGGTCCCCAGAGTTGGGTGGGAGAAGGGACAATTGTCCTGAATCCCACCTGGCCCCCATACGGCCATGAAGATGTGGCCGTCCTTTATTTTATGTTGTCTGTTCTTTCCAAATCTTAGGCAAACAAGTATCTCATAGTGCATGCATCCAAGACTAGCATTGATCTTATAAATTCAAAAAGTCCGAAGATCCTTTGAGACCTGCAAGTGTAACAGCTATGGTGACCCCAAAGCAACAGTGACTTGATGGCAGAAGAAGTTTCTATATCAGATAATATAGCTACTGACAAAAGAACTGGCCCATGTTATCAGCAAAGGAGGGGTTAACCCAGTGCAGTTCCAGGATGAAATTTAAAATGCATTATTTGTAGTCTTGAAAAACTGTTATGATGATGCTTAAATATTAGCCTCCCAGGTTATTGTAACTATAGTTATAAGTTAAATTACTGGCTTCTGTTAAACTTCTTAATTCTGTTAGTGTATTGTGACTGTTTCATGTTTAGCATTTCTGTGTTAAGAATAAACCACCTCTTCTCTTAAAAAAAAGATGTCAGTTTGTGACATAGTCAACAAAAATAATAATGCCATCTTCGGCTGCATTGAGAAACAGTGTACAGAATAAGGACAGACCACATCTGTAGTACTGTGTTCAGTTCTGGGTACCATGACTTAGTAAGAACATAGAACATAGGTTGATAAGTATCCAGTAGAGGGCAGCTAAGATTGTGACAGGACCGGAGAACATGTTCTATGAGAATCACTTGGAAAGAACTGAGGGTGTTTAGCCTAGAGAAAAGAAATCTTAGGGAAAATATGATAGCAGACTTCTAGTATTTGAAGTTTTATCTTGTGGGAAATAGCTTCTGCTTAGCTACAGAAATAGTGGGTGGAAGTTACAAAGGCAACTTTAGGCTAGATGAAAAGAAAAACTTGCTAACAATTAGAGCTATACAAAAGGGATACAGCATGCTGTATCTGCTGATTTGGCGTCTGCTTCCACAGTATGTTGCTCATCCTTTCCCTTATCTCAACTCATGAGAATATCATCTTTGTCCAGGCCCTTATCACCTCCTGCCAGTAGTATTACAAGAAACTCCCAGTTGATCTCTCAGCGTCCATTCTCGTTTTCTAGTACATCTACAAAGTTCCAAACTGGTATTCCTTAAACATCAGTAAGTCTCACCATCTCACTCTCTTGTTTATTAAAGTCTAGTAGCTCTCTTGCCTCCAGGACGAAATACAAAGTTCTATTCAGATTTAAGGCCCTTCATAATCTTGCTCCAAACTGCTTTTAAGGACTCATTGTACATTGCTTTCCTTCATACATTCTATGTCCAGCCAAACTTATTTTTCTCTGTACGTGAGATTCTAGCCCTCCATGCCTAGAAGGAGCTCCCTTCTTACCTCCACCTTTTGGAATCCCAAACTTCTTTCAAAACTCAGCTCAAATAGGAAACCTATATGGATTCCCCCTGTAGCTACTATCCCTTGCCAGAAATTATTTGCCATTTTTTGTACCTAGCTGGTCTTATGCATGTTTTCCCCCTCTTCCCCATTAAAATATAAGTTCTTGATGTCAGGAACTGTTTCATTTTTTGTCTTTGTATTCTCAGCACCTACTATGCCTGGCACATTGTAGGTGCTTTGTATTTGGTTAGTTGAATTAATGAGCTCCTTCCCATAGTCTTCAGGCAGAGATTAGACAGCCATTTGGGATGTTGCGTTAGAACAGATAATCTCTGAGACCCCTTCCCTATTTGAGAGTCTGGTTCTTTTAAGTTTGTGAGCTGGTGTCATTTAAAAGTCTGATGCTGGAAATCTAGAAAGAACAGAATTAGGAGCAGATTCAGTGATAGTGAACTGTCAAGAAGCTTTCATTCTACAGGGGAATACAATTTGTATATCAGTATATACAAAATAAATGCCTATGTAAGGTGTGTGTCCAAGTAAGGTAAGTATGACCTAATGGGTTGTTTAAACATTGATATGCTAGACATGTAAATGGGGTTCTTCTGGAATCTGTCTGATTCTATTCCAAGGATGACTGATAATTTTGTCTTGAGGGGGGTAGAAGGGCTGTAGCCAAGCACTTGCTGCTTCCTTGCCTATCCCCCAAAGGGGTACAGGGCTAGAATTATATCTCTCCTCCTCTAAATATTGCTGGTCTAGGGACACAATTTTGGTTCAGCATCCAGTCAGAACCATAGCTCATGAGCCATCATTCATGTTTTAAATTTTACTGCCCAGCCAAAGGATGTATTACTTCAAAGCAAAAGACTTCTAATAAAAAAAAAAAACAAGTAAAATAAGAAAAGATCCACCTATATGCACACACATATACCCACGGGTTTCCATGTATCTAGTATGGCAACACATCCATGTAGAGAACACATCCATCTTCAAAGAGCCAAAGAAGGGGGTGAAAGGCCTGTGGGAGCAGGCATCTTCCAGGGGCCAGACTCTCCAGCCTTACCCTTAGAGCTCCGGTGTTGCTGATTCCAGCCCCACACCAGGTAAGCTGACAGAACCCTACAGCCTTAGCTGCCAGCATCTGAGGCCCCAGCACACAAAGCCAGTGATGAGGCCCTGGGCTCACAGCACAAGAAGTTTGGGTCAGTGCCCTCTGCTCCCCAGCAAGAGAGCTCAATTTTTTTAAAGGTTAGGAAATAAGCAAACACCATGAGCAAAAAGAAATGTACAATGACCATAGATTCTTATTATGGGGACAGTGAAGATCAAGGCAGAAAGTCTGCAGAGGACAACATTGTCAACAAACCCACATCTGAAACCTCAAAAGAGAATATGAACTGGTCTGAAACCCAAAGAGTCTTCTTAGAAGAACTCAAGAAGGATTTTAAAAGTCAAATGGTAGGGGTAGCTAGGTGGCCCAGTGGATAAGAGCACCGGCCCTGAAGTCAAAAGGACCTGAATTCAAATCTAGTCTCAGACCTGATATTTGACACTTACTAGCTGTGTGACCCTGGGTGGGTCATTTAACCCCAGCTGCCTTGCCAAAAAAAAAAAAGTTCATAAAAGTCAAATAAGAGAGGTAGAAGAAAAATTGGGAAAAGAAATGAGAGGTATACAAGAGAGAGTCAATAGCTTGGAAAAAGGACAAAAATTAACTGTAGAAAACAAGTCCTTAAAAAATACAATTGGCCAAGTGGAAAAAAGCACACTGAAGAAAACAACTCCTTAAAAAGCAGAATTGGCGAAACAGAAAAGGAGGCACAAAAACTCACTGAGGAGAACTCCTTAAAAAATAAAATAGGTCAAATGGAAAAGGAGGTACAAAATCCAATACAAGAAAACAATTTGTTAAAAATTAGAATTGGGCAAGTGCAAGCTAATGACTCTGAGAGCAAGAATCAGTCAAACAGAAACAATAGATGAAAATGTAAAATACCTCATTGGTAAAATAACTGACCTGGAAAATAGATCCAGGAGAGACAATTTAAAAACTATTGGTCTACCTGAAAACCATGATGAAAAAAAGAGCCTGGATAGCATCTTTCAGGAAATCATCAAGGAAAATTGCCCTGAGATCCTAGGACCAGAGGGTAAAATAACCATAGAAAGAATCTACCAATTACCTCCTGAAAGAGATCCCAAATTGAAAATGTCAAGGAACATAGCAAAATTCCAAAATTTCTAGGTCAAAGAGAAAATACTACAAGCAGCCAGAAAGAAACAATTTAAATATCATGGAACCACAGTCAGGATTACACAGGACCTTGCAGTTTCTACATTAAAAGATTGTACGGCATGGAATACGATATTCCATAAGGCAAAGGAGCTTGGATTACAACCAAGGATCAACTACCCAGTGAAAATGAACATAATCTTTCAGGGGAGGACATGGACATTCAACGAAATAGAGGACTTCCAAACCTTCCTGATAAAAAGACCAGAGCTCAACAGAAAATTTGATTTTCAAATACAAGACTCAGAAAAGACATAAAAAGGTAAACAGGACAGAAAAAAAAAACATGTTATTAATAATGGCAAAATGTTACAAGGGAAGATGATACTTGTAACTCTTGAGAATTGTGTTGTTATTACACCATTTTAAAGGGGTATACACAGAGGGGGTGGGTATAAGTTGACTTTGATGTAATGATAAAAAAAATCTAAGTGAACTAATTGGATCTAATTAAGGGATTGTACTGGGAGAAAAGGAAAGGAGGAGGCAGATAGGGGTAAATTATATTGCAGAAAAAGGCACAAAAACCTATTACAGTAGAGGGAAAGAAGGGAGGGAGATGAGCATTGTTTGAACCTTACTCTTATTAGATTTGGCTCAAGGAGGGAATAGCATAATCAGCTAGGTATAGAAATCTAACTTGCCCTATAGGCAATAGGAGAGAAAAGGAGAAAGAAAAGGGAGGAAAGATAGAAGAGAGAGAAGTAGTAAGAGTAAAAGGGAAAAAGAGAGAAGGGGCTAATAGAAGGGAGGGGTGACTGAAGGAGGCAGGACTGAGGGAGGCAGTGGTCAAAAGCAAAACGCTAATGAGGAGGGAAAAGGAAGAGAAAGAAAAGCATAAATGGGGGAAATAGGATGGAAAGACATAGATGGTAATCATAACTGCAAATGTGAATGGGATGAATTCTCCCATAAAATAGAAGCAGATAGCAGAATGGATTAAAAACCATAATCCTACAATATGTTGTTTACAGGTTACACATTTGAAACAAAGGGACACACACAAGGTAAAGGTAAAAGGCTGGAGTAGAATATATTATGCTTCAGCTGAAGTAAAAAAAGCAGGGGTAGCATCCTGATCTCAGACAAAGCAAAAGCAAAAATAGATCTTATCAAAAGAGATAAAGAAGGAAGCTACATAGCACCCAAATTCTTAGAGAAGTTCAGGGAGTTAAAGGAAGAAATAGACAGCAAAACTATACTAGTGGGGGACCTCAACCTCCTCCTCTCTGAACTACGTAAAGCTAACCACAAAATAAATAAGAAGTTAAGGAGGTGAAAGAATTAGAAAAGTTAGATATGGTACACCTCTGGAGAAAATTGAATGAGGATAGAAAGGAATATTCTTTTTTCTCAGTGGTACATGGCACATACACAAAAATTGACCACATACTAGGACATAAAAACCTCACAATCCAGCACAGAAAGGCAGAAATATTAAATGCATCATTTTCAGATCATGATGCAATAAAAATTATATGTAATAAAGGGCCATGGAAAGATGGACTAAAAATAATTGGAAACTAAATAATCTAATCCTAAAAATGAACGGGTCAAACAACAAATCATAGAAACAATAAATAACTTCATTTAAGAAAATGACAATAATGAGACAACATACCAAAACTTATGGGATTCAGTGAAAGCAGTTCTTTTTATATCTCTAAATGCTTACATAAATAAAATAGAAAAAGAGGAGATTAATGAATTGGGTACAACTAAAAAAACTAGAAAAAGAACAAATTAAAAATCCTCAATAAACACCAAATTAGAAATATTGAAAACCAAAGGAAAAATTAATAAAATTGAAATTAAGAAAACTATTGAACTAATAAATAAAACT